CGATGGGGCTTGATTAAATCAATCAAAGGCCCTCAATTACACTCAAACAAAAATCGAGGTCAACAAACGGACCCCCAACAAGAGGAGCAAACAACTAGTGAACTGCTCGTGTTGGCGTTGACCGACTATGTCAAAGAAAGTAAAGTGAAAAACATGAGTGAAGGAATATCAGGAAGATGGTGGAAAAAGAAGGAGACTCTTCTCCTGGCCTTGCCCCATAGTGGGTGCAGAGCCTAGGAAAGAATAAAAAGCAGCAGTACACAAGCAAGGTGTCACCAAAATGGTGAACTAGTAGTGTGGTCTTCTTCTAGCCTTACCCTTTGACAAGGGTAGAGCCAGGGATAGAACCAACGGTAAAGATCACCTAAAGAGGTGAAAGCAAGGTAAGGGGATTCTCCCATAGCCTTGCCCTACAGCGAGGGCAGAGCTGAAAGGAGAATCAAAAGCAAATGTCACCACTAGGGTGAAAAAGGTAGAGAGATTCTCCTCTGGCCTTACCCTGTAGTAGGGGCAGAGCCAAGAGAAGAATCAAAAGTAAAGTTACAAAAGCATACCAACTATCTGTCTAATTATATCGAGTCAGCAGAATAGAAGGTGAAAGGTTCCCATATCCTCTTGCCTATCTCATAGCAGTGGATTGAGACGACTCAGTATCTGCATGACCAAGTCAAGTCAGCAAAGAGAGGAGTCACGAAACTTGGTGTCTGGCTAATCGGAACAAGACACTCAGGGAAACGAGTGGCGAGGAGTTCTTGCCAGGTGCTCTGTCAGGCCCTCCCTACCAAGTAAGTCGATGTCCACTCGGCACATATGCCTGCAGTAGGAAAAAAGAAATAGAAAACCTCTGCCCGGTGTATGTTCCTGCAGCAGGGTCTCTATTTGGCGCATATGCCAAAAGAAGTGTAACGGAAGAAACTCAACACAATCATCTGGCGCATATGCCAGCAATGATGTGGAGAGGAAAGAGTCACTTCTACTTGGTGTATGTGCTTGGAGCAGAGTCTCTACCCGGCGCATTTGCCTGTATTAGGATAAAGAAAAAGCACTCAACATAATCACCCAGCGCATATGCCTGCAATGATATGAGGAGGAAAAAGTGTTAAGGAAAGCCTCCCAGGGACTCTGTCGGGCTCTCTCAACTAGAAAAACCTAATATCCACCAGGCGCATATGCCTGCAGTAGGATAAGAGGGAAAGAAACGTCACCTCCGCCCGATGTATGTGCCTGTGGCAGAGTCTCTACTTGGCACA